CATCTCCTTGTCATTGGGTTCCCTCTTGAGATGTTTAGGAACCTTCTCCTTTCTTCTCCTCAGATGTCTCTCAGTAGTGAACTTATCAATGTCCGTAGGCTCTGATGTAGGGTTGGGAGGGCTTGTTGATGGCGGTTTGAGTGCATTTATTCGTGATATGTCTATTGGGGGCAACTGCACTAGGTATGTGATAGTATCGCATCAATCGATGGGGATATGGCCCTGTCGATCGTTGACATGTTCTCTTTGTCGGTCGATGTTCGGCTCGTGATGTTGATCGATGGTATAGTATAAGGGCTGGGTGGATGTGGGTGTCTTTCTGCGAACTGCGTGTGGGTCAATATCCGGATGACATTGCACATTTCAGTAGGCTCGGTCGGTGTCGATCGATCTACATAATCACATATCGATCGATCTCTGTTGAGTCATGTCAATCATTGCGTACTAGGTGGAATCAATCGATAAGAAGGTGATTCTTCGAGATCGGACCAGTTTCCCTCCTCGAAGTCGTCTTCTTCCATCTTTATATGTCGGATTTCTTTCCATAAATTATCATCCAGTATGGTCTTGACATGGTGTTTCATAGCTTCATGCCCTTCTTGCCTCCTAACAGCTTCTCAAGTCTGAACCACCTGAGTCTCAAGCTTCCTTACCTGAGTAGCTAAGGTCTCAATTTTTGTGCCCAGCTCTTTCTTAATGAAATCAATCTTCCCATTAAAATCCACTGTCAGCCTTTGTTGTCCTTCAAGAACCTGATCAAGCATGGCTTCAATCTTGTTCTCCTAAGTCTCTTGTAGTGGATTCTGGTAGAATGAAGTTCCATAACCTTTGTTGTTGCTGTAGCTGCTGTAGAGTTTCTGAAATTGTGGATCCTGGTTGAAGTTATTCCTCTGACCATTACCAATGAAATTCATGTTTCCAAACTGGTTTCCAGACCTTTGAAATCTGGTTCCTCCAATGTAGTTCCCATCTGCTAACTATGAATCTATATCTTCTGAATTTTCAGCTGAGCAAACATGTCTCATAAGTAGCTGGTTGAAACTGTCTAACTGAGCTTTTACTTCCTCCAGATGTTCCTTCCCAAGGAATGCTACAGATTTTCTCCTTTCAGAATCAGTGTTCTTGATGCTGCTGCTGTTCGCCAGGTTCTCGATAAGTCTCACAACTTCTTCTAAATTCCTAATAATAAAGCTTCCATCGCATGTTGTATCCAGAGCCATCTGGTACTTCAAAATTATTCCTCTAAATAAAGTGCTGAGCAGCTGCACTTCAATGAATCCATGGTGTGGGTAGTCGCGCTAGAACAGCTTAAATCTAATCCAAGAGTCTTTGAAGGGTTCTCCAGGTTTTTGTGTGAATGTAGCAATCATGCTCCTTAGTCCTTCAGCTCGTGCCTCATCAAAGAAATTGTGCAGAAATGCATTCTTGATGTCAGCCTAGGATGTAAGAGATCCTGGTGGTAGCTGCTTGAGCCAATGTGCAGCATCTCCAACAAGTGCGAATTTGAAGAGCTTGCACAATAAGTAGTCCTCAGGGACTCCCTTAACTCTAATATCAGTGATTAGATCCTCGAACCTCTCAAGATGGTCCATAGGATGCTCATGTAACAACCCACAGTAAGGTATCTGAGCCACAAGTGTGTAGTACTGGGGCTTCAACTCGAAGTTCTCCCTTTGAACGTCTGGGAGACGAATAGCTGACATGTTGGCATAGTACTGGTCTGGACAGTTGTACTATGCTAAGGTCTTGGGTCGAGTGGCCTCATCAGTATCAGGTTAAGGGATTACATTCCCCAGAGTATCTAGTTTCTGACCTGTTGCATTACGCAGATGACTTTCCTGGTCATACAGCTCTCCATTCTCCTTCACAGTTAGTATCAGGGGCTCAACCATGTCTCGCGGCTGAGTATCGATTGATGTACGATGAGCGGTGTCGATGGATGTCAAGTGATCAGAGTCAGTCGCAGAAGAGGAGTCCGTGTCGATCGATGATGAAGCGAGGTCGGTCGGGGTCTGATGAGAATAGGTCGACGAAGAGATTTTAGCGTCGATTGATGCGGAACGTAGGTCTTTGTGGATCGAACGTTTCAAGCTTGCATGGTCTTCGGAAAATAGCAATTGTTTTTCCTTGTTTCTTCTTGTTATGCTATGCATGCACCTGAAAAATTAAGAAAATAAATTTATCAGAAGATGATAAAAGAAAAAGAAAAAGAATAACCTAGATTTATTAGACTGAATCTAAAGGCGATCAAAGCTCTCTGGCAACGGCGCCTGATTTGATACGTGCACAAATTATGGAGCAACTTACTCTCTAAAATAAGCGATCAATTGCAGTAGTTAGGGATCGAATCCACAAGGAGCTATAGAACCTATTAAATCTAATGAATCAATAAAAGTAGGTGAATACAAATAGTAAATAGCAGTAAGCAAGTAAACAGTGAATATGAAATATTCTAATTGAGAAAGACAATTACTTGACAAGAATGGAATGAGGGTTTTGAAACTAAAATGGAAAGGTGTTAGACATAGAGCTTTTATTCAGGTGTTGGAGATTATAATCCTATAGGTGCTATCTAGTTGTTTGCATGGTATTAAAGAACATTAACTATCTTAACAACATATTTACTAAACTTTCATTTAATAAAAAAGTGTATTGATTAGAATGTTATTGACCAAGACAAGGATGTCCGATCAATGACGGTGTCGATCAATTATTATACAGGAATATCGACCGATTCACTTAACTCGACATCGGCCGATTTCTTATGGGAATATCGATCGATGCAGCTAGTCAACCGTTACACGTGAGTTAACAAAAACTCACTATGGATCTCTAGATAAAACTTTCGCTCTATTTTCAGTAAAATCCTAGCTTAATCAGGATGTGTCTGAGACAATCAGAGTTACTCAAAGATATTTAAACAACCTAACAATCCTAGATTCAGGATAAAATTGGGTTGCTACCCGCGGCCTCGGTTCCCATAATAGTTCCCTCGGCCGTTGTGGTTACCTCGACCACGCTCTTGCCATTTTCCACGGCCACAGCCGTGTTGGCTATTATTCTGGATGTGGTTAGCCTCTTTCTTTTCTTCTATGACCTTATTTTCCTAAGGTAGTGCGGTTGATCCAGGAGGTCTCAATTCACTGTTCCTCATCAACAATTCATTGTTTTGCTCAGCTAGCAATAGACATGAGATCAGATTTGCATATGTTGTGAAGCCCTTTTCACGGTACTGTTGTTGTAACAACACATTGCTTGTGTGGAAGATGGAGACGGTCTTCTCTAACATATCCTTATCCGTTATATCCTCACCACACAGTTTTAGTTTAGAAACAATCTTGAATAGGGCTGAGTTATGCTCATCCACAGACTTGAAGTTCTGGATTCAGAGATTCCTCCAACCATATAGAGCCTTTGGTATTATCACCGTTTTTTGGTGATCATATCTCGTTTTCAATTCTGTCCAAAGGTCTAGAGGATTCTCAATTGTCAAATACTGATCTTTGAGACATTCAGTAAGATGATGGAGAATAATCAAGATACCTCTGTATCTATCTTTCTCAATTGCATTATTGCCCTCGGTGATACATTCACCGAGTCCCTTTGATTTCAAGATGATCTTAGCATCAAGTGCCCATTGTAAATAATTACCTCCTCAGAGATTTAGGGCAGCAAAATCCAAGTTGTTGATTTTCGACATCTGAAATCATATATCTCATACTTAGAATCTTAAACTTGCTCATTAAACAGACCGACCAAACAAGATATCAATTTCTAGCAATTAATTTATCAAGCCTAGTTCGGTTCTAGCATTAGGACTAGTTTGGTTCTAGCATATTGATTAGGATTAAATCGGTTCTAAACTAGTTCGGTTCTAGATTAGTTCGGTTCATGCGATTTTAAACAATTAATCTAGCATACGGTTTCAATCTTAAAACATTCAATTGAATTTATCAATCAATCAATCAATCAAGCATAAATAATATGGTCGAAATAGGGTTTTAACAATCCTGGCATTCAGGTTCTAAGTGTTCGTGTAAACCTCAATCAAACAAACACAGTGTGGTTCCAACTAACAACCTAAACGGATCATACAACCTAACAGATCTATCAATATGATTAGGATTTCAAGGTCCGTCATATGCAAGGTTAGGGTTTTCATTTTAATCACTAGGGTTTTAGAATTACCTTAACCTCCAATTGAGTTGAATGGACCGAACAAGAGAAGGATCGAACAAGCTGGAACTTAGATTGCAAACTGGAACTCCTCGGATCGCAAATTGGAACCAGAACATGCTGGGTATCGGATCGCGAATTGGACATGCTGAGTATCGGGTCACGAATTTTGAGCTTGCAGCAATCGGGTGAAGTTGCTGAGATCGGCGGTCGAAGAAGGATTAGGGTTAGGGTTCTTCGCGAGAGAGAGATTAGGGTTTCTGGTCGGACCTTTAGCTTAGGGATTTAGAGACTTGATCGTATTGATAATATGTTGTGAAAGTATGGGGAATACTTGTGTTGTTACTGCATAAACATAAGGTGCCCTTATATAGGGAGTTACAAGATCTTAGAAAAGGAAAAACCTAAACCAAATAGGAAAAGGAAATAGTACAAAACGTAATCCAATAAGGAAAAGGGAAACTAGCCCCCTAAGGAAAAAGAAAAGAGCCCAGCCGCCTAAGGTACTTGATGGACGGCTGGTTAGACGGGCCAAGGGTCGGTTAGGACAATCCGCAATATATTTCATAACCAATTTGTATTATTTTTTAATCAGTAAATAACAGAATAATAGTTTAATGCAAGATCTGTTCAGATTAATTAGTTTTACGGTTGCTATTAAGTTTGTTTTATAACCAGTGTGTATAATAAATAATAGATTTCTGAATAGGTCCAAAAATTAATGACAACTTCTTATAATAGATAAAAATATGACTTTAAATTCATAGATTAGATACGCATTGGATCAGAAAACAATCTCTGGAATTACTGTGAGAATACATTACCTAATAATCCCAATATCATTGTTATCATTACATCTTGAACATGTAAAAGATGTGAAACTCTGCTGTAGCTTTTTATAGCTCTTAGAACAGGAGAAGTAGAACCATCCATTGCTTATCTTAATTTCACTGAATTTGGCTTTGCAAAGGAACTCAACAGTCTGCAGGTATCGACATGTAGAGGAAGATCTGAACGATAGAGTATATGAGGGAAAAAAGCATGATCACAGTACCAAAAAAGTAATTGTACGTACGTGAAGTGGGAAAACGAAGACATAAGAATTGAGCTCTAAAATTGTGGTGGATGCTATTTTCTAAATACCTAAAACTCCTAAGAAGTTGAAGATAAGCCAGACCAACACCCACCTGGCCTAAAGGGAACAAAACAACAGTTATAAGGAAGTTAAAATATTAGGATAAGGCTGGACTTTCTTGCACTTTAAGAAAGTTCTTGCCGGCTTGAGTTTCCTGATTAAAATAAAAGTGTGTTCCAAACGTTGCGTTGAGGAATAAGCAAATACAAATTTTCTCTGTAAGTCGGTAGAACCAAGCTAAGCAAAGTAAAAATTACCTATTGTTAATCACTTTATGAAAGTGAATACTAAGTTTACTAAGAAACTCATATCCAACTAACAATATCTAAACATGTACCTAAAAGAGAATCCAAAGGAATGTCTTCAAAGCGTTTATTGATTTGGAGCATTTAGAAGATGTTCAACAGATTTAATTTGGGCAAAAAGGAGAAAACTTTACAACATATTTTTTGCTGGGATTCAAAAAAGAAACATCAAAAGCTAGTGAGGGAAAAAAAACAAAAAGCTAAACCTAAAAATAAAGGCATGGGTTCTCAGCTTGGATTCAAGAATGACTCAGAAAAAGACGCATACCAAAAAAAGATCAATATACTCAAAAAGACAGCTTTACTTGAGATTGAAAGAAGCAGATGTAGACTTTAGTTATCTGTTCTTGGCCTCTTCATGAGAGTCGTGAGACTCACAAGCTAGCGGTCATTCTTTACATTGCCAGTCTCCCAAAATCCCAGGAGAGGAACTTAGTTAAGAAACGTTTGCCTACTGAAGTTTGTTTCCTTATATGTAGTCTATTTGATGCCATTTCATGAAAACAATTACCATTTTCCAATAATTCAGTTATAAATATAATTTCAAACAACACAAACACTGATAAATTTTACATTATCAACTATGATTCAAAACTCATGTATATAATATAATGTTTCAAAAACAATAAAATGTACATCAAAGTTTATAAAAAGTATCATGCATGAAATCATAAAATGTTAAAAACATAAAACATCAAAATAAATACAGATAATCTCGCACACAGTGCGGATTAGAATCTAGTTGTCTTTAACCTAAGCTTTACTAACATCTTTTAACCATGTTATTGTAAATGATCGTCTACAATCACTACAATAAAACACGTCCTTTACTAGGACAGGTTTTCCTCGTGATTTCCTAGTAAATGGTCATTTACTAGGAAATAACGAGGAAACGCGTTTCGTCGAAAGACGTTCATCGTAAAGCATATTTTCCTCGTAATTTCCTAGCTTATTTACGAGGAAAGGTTTCTTCGTAAAGGCGTGGAAAAAGTTTCCTCGTAAAGTCCACGTAGGCTTTCCTCGTAAGGGCATAGTAAACTATTTCCTCGTAATCTCGTAGTAGACTCTTTACAAGGAACTTGCTAGGAATATTTACGAGGAGTTTACTTCGAAATCTTTACGAGGATATTGCTTCGAAACAATTTTTTCCTATTTAAAAAAAAAAATATTTATAAATTAAAATTATATATATTAAAAAAATTAAAAAAACCAAATTATAAATAAAAAAAATAAATAACAAAATATTTATAAATAACTAAATAATATACAATTAATAAGTTTTAAAATTCATAATATACAATTAAAAACTAAAAGGGATGCTGGTCTTGAAATTGGTGCACGAAGTCGTCGTCTTCAATGTTGGATGCAGGCTGTGACTGAGATGGTGGAGGCTGTTGGGATGGAAGGGCTCCGCTTTCCCGTCTCTGACGCAACATCTCCGCCACTTGCGGGTTTCCAACCGCCATAATGTCGAGGATATCGGTGAGCATACTCACATGAGCCTGCGTCGCCTGTAACTCCGTCCGTAGCTGAGCATTGGCATCGGCTTGTTGGTGAACATAAGCCGATGTCACTGCGGGGACATCGTTAACCGAGCCAATCCCGACAATACGGCCCTTTTTCCTAGGGACGGCCTGTAAATAAAAATATTAATAACGTAAGGAAAAATTTAAGTAAATAATAAAAAATAATATATTAAAACAAATTATTTACCTCCTCGTAAATCTTAACCACTTCAAGAGTGGATAATACGACCGGAGCCCCCGTCTGCTGAGTCAGCTGGGTCTGGTGTTCGTCAACTCGGGCAGCAACCTCGTTGTAGATCCGCTCGGAAGCAGGATCTACAAACTGCCCACTCTTTTTCCGGTGGGTCTGCTCGTAAAGGTCTTTCAGAGATGGAAGAACTCCTGTCTCTTTAGCCTTAATTTTTTTTTAAAATTAAATATTAATTTAGAATATTAATTTAGAATATTAGAATATTCAAATAAAGTAATTAAAAATTAAATAGTTATAAAAAATACCATGTCTAGACGAACTCCCCCGTGAGGTTTTCGGCCCGTGGTGTGAAGCATCTTCGTGTTGCCATGCTCGTATGTGGTCATGCGGTTCTCGGAGTTTGTCTGGGAGGTTCTGATCGAGTCCGGCAACACCCAATAGCTGATGAGGCCATCCCACACTGTGGTTGTGAGGCAATCGGGTTTCCCGCGCTCGTAACCGTCCACCTGATTTAAAATAATTAGAATTAAAGTGAATAATATATATTTTTAAAACTATAAATATATTATAATTTATAAATTTATGCCTGAAAGTCGCCCTTCCAGTTGTAGACCATATCGCACAATCGTGCTTTTGCCTTGGCCTCGAACTCTGACTTCACCCGCTGGTGAATCCCAATAGACAACCGGTATTTTTGCTGCAACCAGAAAAAATAAAAGACGGATTAGTTCAATAATATTCGAAATTTTAAATGATTAAAAATAAATTAAATTGATTTACTATACTTACAGCGAACGATTTGAACCACGTCTTTTTGGTGTGGCTCGCCGTCAGCTTCCAGTTTGGAGCTGCATCGGGAAAGTATCCCTTGATACAGTCTGTGACGCTAGATCCGACACAATTGTCAAGACCAAACCTGGAAAGACGGAAACTAAATCATTAATTAGAACATATACCATAATACTTTTTAAAAATTAATAAAACTTTTTAAAAATTAAAACATACCATAATACGTTTTGGCCGTCTGGTCGGATTGGTTCTAACTCTGGTAGCCCTTCTCTGCCTGGAAGGGCCAAAATATCCTCCACCGTGTACACCGCAAATGGTGCGTTCGGTGGCACCTGCAAATCAGGATGAATCCCGACCGGTGGAGGAGGAGGAGGTGGCTGCTGAGACCGGGATGCCGTAAAACCGCCCTGAGTCTCGGGAACTCCCGAAGATGAACCACCGGGAGCTGACGAAGACGAACCGGGCCCGAATACTAATAGATCTCCATAATGAATCCCCTGATCTAGAGGCCTCCTGGACTGAGCAGCAGCAACTTTGCTCTTTCTAACCATCTAAATTTAAAAAAAAAAACAGAAAACATTAATTCTCGTATAATTTTGTATAATTTTTAAAAACTAATCACCTAATCTAAATTTCCTAATCTAACCAACTAATCTAAATTCCCTAAACTAACCACCTAATCTAAATTCCCTAAACTAACCACCTAATCTAAATTCCCTAATCTAATTACCTAACTAGGAAATAGAGAGTGCCTTAAGAGAATATGGAGAGGAGGTTACTATGACTGAGAAGTCGGATTGCTCGTGTATATATAAGGAATTTTGTTTCCTCGTAAAGCCCTAGTAATGTTACAAGGGCTTTACGGAGAAACAGCTATGCCCGGGTTTTCATTTCCTCGTAAAGTCCTAGTAATGTCCTAGAAATAACATTACTAGGACTTTACGAGGAAACATCTTTACGAAGAAATAGCTATGCCCGCGTTTTTTTCCTCGTAAAGTCCTAGTAATGCTTACGAGGAAATAGCTATGCCCGTGTTTTCTATTACTAGGGCTTTACGAGGAAAGGGTTTGTAAATCCCTAAACTCGAAACCCCAAACCCCAGACCACAACTTCCTTAACTTATAACCTCATCTACAACTAAACTCCTAACCTCTTCTACACCTAAATCCCAAATTCGTTTTTTTTTTTTATTAAACAAGCTTAAAACATACGTAATTCAACTCATTTTTTGTTATTAAGCAAACTTATAAAACATACTTAATTGAAATTGGTTTTTGTGATTAAACAAACTTATAAAACATACATAATTCATTCGGATACATTCTCATAATCCGTAGAAACATCATCATTTTCGGCATACTCGTCCTCAACACCGTCGTCCGTTGAGTGATCAGGGACATCTTCGTATTCATGATTATGCGGATCAATGAGTAGGATGTCATCAATTTCTGCTTCAGGTTCCTCGATTTCATTGGTGTTTTCTTCTTGCAATGGTGGTTCTTCTCCCTCGATTATCCGTCCTCGAGGTGTCACTTTGATAACAGCTAACCAGTTTATTCCCGTTGCAGTAATCCGAGGGTATGGAATGAAGCAAACTTGATCTGCTTGGGAAGCTAATATGAAAGGCTTGAATTTTTTGTACCTGCAAAAATTAAGACAACGGAGAAATTATTAGTTCTCAGAACATGCATGTACGTATGTCAAAAAAGAATTTGTTGTACCTTCGTCCACCATTGACGTCAACTACACCGTTCTTGTTAATCCGAACACCTCTGTTGACGACGGGGTCGTACCACTCACACTTGAAGATAACGCATTTCAAACCCATACCTGGGAATTGAACTTCATAAATCTCCTGCAAGATCCCGTAGAAATCTGTTTCGCCTTTCACACATATTCCATAATTACTTGTCGCCCGGTGTCTACCATAGTCATAGGTATGAAAAGTATAGCCTCGGGTGAAATACATCGATGATGTAGTGACCTTTGCAACTGGACCTTGAAGTAATTCGCGAAACCATGCGGGATACTGAGGATCGTCATAATCAACCTGCAACAAAAAGTA